TATTGTCATGCTACTAATTTTTATTTTTATTTTCCAATAAATATTTTTCAAACATGTTTTGTATAATACTGCAGAGTTTTAGGAAAACGATCTTAGATCTTTTTATCAATCGTTATTGTATATTAATAAATTTGTTTAGCGCCTGAAATGATTTTGAAGCGTAACTTCAAGGTTTTATGTTTGCAAATGGAAATCTAAATTCATTGCAAGTAGTATTCGAAATATAAAAGTTTGTTCTGGCTTTTGCCGAACTATCATATAACTATACGGCAAGTTTCTACTTTGTCGTATGTCGTCTTTGGTTCGAGGTCTTCTTCCAATTCCGGGTAGTTCTGTTATGGTTCGGAATATTGGCTCTGATCTATTGAGTCGGAGAGACATTTCAATTAAATTATTGTCGTATAACATTTTTGTAAATGTTTTTGTCTAATTTCTAATCTATTTTGGTTAATTCTAATCTATTAAGGTCTTGTTCGAGACTTATGGTCGCACCAGATGAGTTAGGACCGAAGTGTAACTCATAGAGTAATTTCGGATAGGGTACACCGTCTGCTCGTCACGCTATCTTATTTTCGGCCGGATAGATTCGTGCAACTTCTTAGTCTAATACCGATCCTAATCTTACTCTTATACTATCTAGTCTCAGGTTGTTTAACTAGTCTCTGCTAGGCTCAATAGATCTAGGGTATACTGGTTTATTGCGGCTGCTGAAGTGCTCGGGAGAGTCCAACTAATTTCTAAGTTAAATTCAAATCTCTCTGGTGCTGAAATTACAAGTAACTTCAGCACTTACAAATAAGTGGGTTGTTAGTTAGATGGATCATGATTGGTTAATATTAAATACTTTACATTGGTAAAACATTTAATTTATCCAATCATAAAATGTAGTTTAGATCAGGTTCCACAACGGAGCAAAAATTTGAAAAAAATCAGTCCAAAATTTCAAAAACATAATTTTTTAAAAAATGGTGGGCGCTTTTTGTTATTTCTACTTTTTTTTACCGCGCTCCCTCCCCGAAATCGTTGCAGAATTGGTCAATCGAAATTAGATGTCATAAAATAGTACATTGGATCGTGGTGGTTCAAAGCCGTAGAAAAAGGAGCGTCTGCCCTCTATCACCAAAATCCGACCCTGATTTCCATCATAACCAAAATCGAACAATTGATTTCATAAAAAGAAGACCCTCTGATTTAACCGTGATGAAAAATCTAAAATAATCTTCATTAAATAACCAAACGCTCATACAATTTAATCTACTATCGGTTTTTTATCGGATGGTTTGCTGAGAAAAGATTTCGTCAAAAAGTTAACAAAGGGGGAGTTTTTTGGGTGACGAGGATGGCGAGGAGTTTAACTGTAATATAAGATTTGAGTTCCTGCCAACCCCTAAATCAACACTATTGGAAGCAAGAGATAAAAATTTAAACTCTCACGCAACACTGTCTGAAAACCGTTTATCCTCTTGCAGGTTCAAGTTCAACTTACTCAAAATTTCGAAAAAAAAACTGTCAACTTTTCGATCAATTTTTCTGGGCCGCAGGCAAATTTTTCAAAACTGCGTTTTATGCTCTTTTTGGACACTTGGATCAAAAAACGCGTTTTTTTCGCGCCCGCGTCCCCTCAAGTTTTGTACATATTGGTGCCAAAGGCGCCTTTAAAAAATTTTTAAGGAGAGGCTGCCGAAAATGGATATCTCAAAATAGCACAAAGGAGGTTCCTTTGGGTCGGCAGGGGGTCAAATCCATAAGACTCCGATCAGAAAAAGGTTGCATTTTTTTATTTTGTAGCAAAAGTCCTAATCATTTACTTTGTTGTCTCGCCATGATTTTGTGAGAACTAAACGCGTTTTTCAATTGATTTTTTTTTCTTGAATTCGCCCATACTCTTTTTCAATTTTTTCGAACTTTTCAAAACATTTTTTTGAACGCCCGTCCTCCTTATTTTATCCCACCTCAGCATCGCCCATTCCCTTCCGCATGTTTACCTTCAAAAAAACTTAAAGAAAATTTTGAACTTGGTTGGAAGCCCACATATACCACAACCCCAGCCCGCCCACATTTACTCTAGCTCTATCCCGCAAATACGCACCCTCAACTTGGGAGGGTAGGCAAAGGTGTGTGTATGTGTGTTTTGTGGTAGGGGTGGGTTGGTCAAGGTTTGAGGTTAGGGTGGGGGGGGGGGTTGTGCAGGTGCAATGTATGTGTGGGGAGGAAGAGTTTTTTGGAAATAACTTCACATCAGGTACGCACGTGTAAATGCAGAAGAGAAAAGATTGAACAAACAGAGTGACTGGTGTGTGTGTGTGTGTGTGTGTGTGAGGGGGAGAAAGTGTTTAAATAAGTGTTTAAAAATATCAATTGATACGTTTAGAGTCCGAGTAGGAGCGCAATTTTGCAGAAACTGTTGCAATTTCCGCAAAAAATTTTAAAAAAAGATGGACATTTTAATCCCCTCTTAAACTTTTGGATTTCCTTTGGTTATAAAGGATTTGAATGGATTTGATTGTATCAGAAAAAGTCAATGACAGTGTCAACTTTTTTTGGTCCCAATTTGCAACAAAAATGGATTTTAATGACAAGTTTTTAGCCATAATTGTTTCTTTTTTGATCAATTTCTATTCATGAAGCTCAGCTGTGGGTGAGATCAAAGCTTACCATAACAGGAATAATATATAAGACAATTCTAATAAAGTTGAAAATGCCGTTAAACTAAACTGACGATGAGCCTTAGGCTAAACATTAAACTGAACAAGGGAGCCACGAGGGATTCAAATATCTCACCACTTGCAGAGTTGCCAACCTAAGAATTTTCAAAGAGCAAACTAGACGCCTTCCTGTATACACTATTTTTGAGGGGTGATATATCACTTTTTCTCCATACTAGTTGAAATTGCGGAAATTTTTTTATTGTCCTGTGACCCATTTTGGTATACACGCATCCAATTTAGGCGTAAATAATGTTTTATAATGGATTATTAAGATGATTTTTTGACAAATACAATTGATTATAATTACCAAAATTGCGTGTTTAAAGGATTTATAATTGATTATAATCGTGATAGTTTCCAAGACATTATAAGCACTTATAATCGATTATTATTGATTATAGTTCTTACAAAAAACAATTAGAATCAAAAATAATCAATTTTAATCTCTTATTTTGCCAAAATTTTATCAAATCGAAACTATAATCGAATTAATTCTTTTGGGTTATTATTTTTGTGTCATTAAGAAAATTTCTGAAAGAATGATCTCATGGACACTTTGGTTCATCTGAACACAAAGTTATACCTCGAAACAAAAATTTCGCAGAGATTCTTTCATGATAATGGAAAAGTTCCCGCGGTAGATGAAAAATAAATCTTCCGAATCAATCATGAAATTAAATCAACTAAAATCAATTTTAATTGTATCGAACAATGGACAAATAAATATTCAATTACAATAGGTTATAATGGATTATAATAATTTGATCTTAAAAAGAGAGATTATAATCGATTATGATTTGACTAAAACTGATTGTTTCTCAATTTTAGTAAGACTGATTTTAAAATTGTAATTTAATCGATTATTAACGCTTGAAACTGGATGCGGGTATCACTCGACCCATTTTGATGATTATTTGTGGTACCTGATTTTCCACAACCGAATACAAAGATCCTCTCCAATTTTCTAGCCGATGAATCATTTTAACTGGTTGGGTTTTGAGGAAAAAATAGAATTTGAGATGAATATGATGTAAGATTTTCACAGAATATTGTAAATCTTGTGGTATTCTGACACAAAAATGTTTATCTTGTCAGAATTTAACTAAAATTTCTATCTTATAAGATGTCTAAAATGCTAATCTTGTGAAAACTTAGCACAAATTTATTTAAAAAAATTACCAAATTATGCAGAAACTTGTACCACAAAACTTGCCATAGCACACAAAATCATAAAATCAACAATTGAGATCGACTATGATTTTTTCTGTTTAGAACTTGCCACATGAAAACAATCCGTATTTGAAATCTATTTTGTGGGCTCGGCCAATAAGAGTTATTTTTTCTGAATTTTGGTGCTGGTGGGGGCCGGGTCGAGGTTTGCGATTTATGTTTCAACAGAACCGGATCAAACCCATGTCAGAGCTCGACTGAAAATCCATATTCGAGAAGGCCCTATAGTCGAACATAGAGTCGAAACATAAAGATTCCTACCAACTCGAAATTTTTAAGCAGTTATAAAGTCGAAACGTCAAGTCGAACACAAGATTGATATAGAAAGTCGAACACAACTTTACAGTACAGTCGAACTCAAAGTCGAAACAAAAAGTCGATTCGGTCCGAGAATTTAATTTCAATGTCGCTCTTTTTTGCTTGCTATACTGTAAAAAAATTGCACGTTGCAATTAGCAAATTCATCTGTTATATATGTACCTACCAGTATATATAAAGTTGCAATTAGCAAAGTAATCCAGTATATTTGAATATATATGAAGTACAGTTAGCTAGAACAGCAGATTTGCTGATCAAAATGTGTTTTGTCGGTCAAGCACAGTCGAAATCTTGTCTTGTTAGATTTTGAGGAGAAAATAGAATTTGAGATGAATGTGACGAAAGATTTTGATGGAATATTGTATATCTTGTATTGTTCTGAAGAAAAATATGAATCTTGTAAGATTTCAACTAAAATTTCTGTCTTATAGGATGTCTAAAAAAGCGTATTTTGTGAAAAACAAGATAAAAAGCTTGTCTTGTTTTTTTCTCGGTCGAAACTTTTCTAGGTCGATGAAACTTCACGGCCAAACTCAGTCGAAACGTTTTTTTCCCGGTCAAAATGTTTTTCGGTCGATAAAACTCCTCAATCGAACTCGGTCGAACTTGTTCGAAACAAAAACAGCTTGGGTCGAGACGGTCGAAACATACGATTTTATGGTCCAGTCGGTCGAAACATAAATCGAGCACCTCGACCCAGGGGTTGAACATTTTTGTTTTTGAGGTGAGACATACAAGTTAGTTCTACCTGTAGAGAATGGATCCATCCGGCGATAGTCTGATGAGGACGTTGGGTACCATCACTTCCTGTTTGGAGGCGGATAGGGAGTCTGGAAAGTAGGTATCCGGCACCCAGATGCGCTTCAGGAAGTCGTGTGACAGAGTCAGAGGTTCTAGAACATTCTTACTGTTGATGTAATCTCAGTGGCTCTAGAACTTTCTAGAACTTTTATGGTTTATGAGTACATAATTCAACGTTTACTTTTCAAAAAAAATTACCCCAATTATTTTAGCGTTGTGGCCCGCACAAATAGTCAGTGAAAAGTTTTATCTGATGAACCAAAATCATTTTTTTTTCATAAAACGTAATTGATTTATAATAACTTGATGAATTATCATAGCAATATACTAACTGTTATAAACCGGTTGTCCTTCCACAGCAGTGAATTTGAGTCTCTCGTCTCTCCAGTACTGTCTGAAGGACAGGTCTATTCTGAAGTTCATATTCACTTCGTCAATTGGACCAAGAGAGTCGACATTACTGGTCACGCCCACTTCCACAGCAGGTCCGCCAAATTGGGGCCTGGAAAAACAGGTAAAGTTGAAAAAGAATCAAGAATTGAGAAAAAATTAAAATAGGCTAATAAATCGCATATAAATCAAAATTGGTTCAGCGAACATGTAATTATGAGCATTTTTAGGTTGCGATCTACCCGTAAAATATTGAAATTTGAAACTCGTACACCAAATTGGCGCCAAGAGAGTTAAATGATGCATAGATATTAATTGGGATACCACAAGTTACGACCAAAATCCCATCTCAAATAAATTTTGTTCAACACTTTAAGTGAGCGACAAAAATATGGCAACTGAATTCAAAGATTTCAAGATTCTTGCAAGAATAGCGTTCATCTTGCAAGATTTGCGTTTACCTTTCAAGATCTGCAATACATTTGCACGCAATTGTTAAGATTTTTCATCTCCTAGCCCGGGTTTACTAAATGTTCTTATTAAGCATTTAGGTTAGCTATTTTTGTTCCGTACATTTGAAAAGAGGAGGAACTTTGTACTCGGGTGTGTTTTAGTTTTTTAATGTTTTCCAGGCAAAATTCGATACCACAAATAGTCATTGAAATGGGCCGAGTGGATATATCATATTGAAGCTCGTTCATTCGTAATTCGAATTACATTAAAAAATTTTCCGAAAAAATTCCCATTGTCGAGAAAAACCAGTTTTAAATTTTTGCTTTTTTGTCGTGATTTTTCTCGAGCGAGAGCAAGTTTTCTAGACATTTTTCATCAAAAAATGTTGTCCAATTCGTCTTTTTTACTATGGCTGTCTAATATGTCCAAAGTATAATTTTACATCAGAACCTTTTATCACACTAAGCATAAAAACTACACTAGATTGGAATAAAAAATTTCAAAATCTTAGTTTTATAAAGAATATGGTCGGAACGTTCTCTGCTACCCGCACAGCAAACCGGCTAACCTTATTCTCGCACAGTAACCGATTACCGTATATGCAAACTGTAATTTTTCTCTAAAACCAAAAAAGACATTTTTGGGCTGTGTTCGCAGCCGAACCTAAGTGACAAAGACTGTTTTTACTCAAAACTGGAGTCCACAAGTTTCAAGGGTCTCTCATGTACAAAACATTGGAAACGATCTGAATTTAGATGCCTTACGCAAGCTTTATAGTGAAAGTATGAAAGATCCACAATTTCCATGATGCCAAATTATCGAATTAGAAGTTTTCTCTAATCAGTAATTGCTCAAGGAATATAAAAAGTACTACATCAAATAAACAGGGTTTTTGGACATTTTTGAACAAATTTATCTGGGGGAAAATAGTCCAAGTTTTGTGTATCCAGGATTACGTGATGCAAAAAAATTACTTAGACAAGCTGAGAAATTTGGAAAAAAAACTTTTTTGTGCATGAAAATTTTTTGCGCTTGAAAAATAACAATACAATTTTGGGGCAAATCAAAATTTCATGAAGTTTTAGTTTCGCCATCAAAATTTCAAATTTGAAAACACGTTTAAGTTTCAAAAGTTTTGGTGCCATCAATAAAAAAACAAAATTTAATCAAAACTTTTAGTTTTGCTGTCTTTTATGAAAATCCTCGTTATGGCTTTCTTGCTTCTAATGCCGATATACCGAATTTTACGCAAGAACAACTTTTTTTTTGACATTATACTGCACCATTTTAGCATTAATATTTAAAAAACTGTGAATAGCAATTTTCAAAGATTAGGCAGTTTTTCTACAGTTAATAGAACTGTATGATTAGCATTTTTAGTCTACGGAGATCATCACGGGAGAATATGCTTATGACTATTTTTTTGTTTTTGGTTTGCTCGGTGCTTTTTATAGTGAATGGAAACATCTGGCATTAACTTAGTAAGAGCTCACACCAAAAAAATGTCTCCCAGACCGGAGATATATAGATATCCATGAAGAATGCCTTAGTTCCAATGTTTTTTGTTCGAAGTCTCTCATTGCTGAAAGTTTTTTGAAAAATTTAAATAATTAAATTTCAAAAATCTCAAAATATTGGAACATTTTTATTGCTACTTAATCTAATCAAAATTATTTTAGAATTCAAACATGCATGCCCAAAATTTATATATCATAAAGCATCAGTAAACTTTTTACGATTTAAAGTAATAACAAAACTTGCAGTCCTACTAGACTTGAATTTCGTATTACCCGTCAGAAAAGTTCAAATTTAGCAAGAATTGAAAAAAGGGGCTGCCAAAATTGAGGGGTTCCATTATTTTAAAAACTATTTTTTGGCAAAGATTTGTATTATGAGACAGATCAATTTTTTTATTACTTCCGAAATTCCCATTTGGCACTCGATTTTGTAAGAAAAACAAAACCAAAAGAAAAATTTTTAAAAACACCCAACTTTAATTAACTTCTCATGCATCGGTCGGAGCACAAAAAATGGCATTTTTTTCGCTGACAAGCGAGTTTTTTTTGATATTGTCCAATTTTTACATTTATAATAAAAACCAAGGTAAGATGCAGTGGCACGCTTCAAATAAGCTTCCAATAGTTTCAAGTCTTACAAAACTCCACCCGTATCCAGGAGATTTTCTGCGCAAGATCTGAAATTCTTTATTTCTTACATTAAATAATTCTCAGATCTGAAAATTTTTGTTTCATTTCTGATCAACAGTTTGAAAATTTCAGATCTGAAATTTGGATCCGAAAAAGAAAACTTCAGGTCTGAAATAAACTTGGAAAACTAAATGCAAATCTGAGGTTATATCTGGTAACCTTTTGTTGCATTAAAATTTATGCTTTCCGAGCAAATAACTGAGTTTTTATCTTTTGATGTTTTTGCAAAACACAATTATGTTTAGATCAAGTAGCGGTAGGAACAAATTCCAATAGTTTCACAAACAGTTTTTTTTAACTAAAATTTTTGTTCAACTGTGGTAAAAAGTTTTCAAAAACTGTTAGATGACCTATCATTTTTTTTTATTTTCATGAGCTACATGTGCGTTTTCAGTATTTATCTCATGCATGGGGAAACATATAATGGCAGCCTCCCATTGGAGTTTTTTTGGCGTACCCGCTAGTAGCTAGCAAAATCTATCAAATACCAAAGTATCTAAAATAGCAAAAATTGTGTCAAAATCAATGATTTTTCAGATCTGAAATAACCAAAATAAACAAAATTTCAGATCTGAAATAACCCATTCTAAAAGTATTCAAGCAATATTTCAACATTTCACATCCCATTTCAGATTTGAAATTTAGATCTGAAAAAGTTTATTTCTGATCTAAATTAGAACGTTTACTAGGTACGGGCACCAAGTCGATAATTTCCATCATAGTCAACAAAAGTCGAGCTATCCAAACACAATTAAACGGAGCCAATCAAATGAGCATATTTGTTTGACGCCCAGAGACAAGAGAAAACATGATTTAGCCGTATATGTCAATTTGTGGAGAAGTATCATCAGTTTCCTTAAAAATGGCTTAAGAGTTCGAACTGAAGTTACTAAATATGACTGAAAAGTTTGAAAACCACAGCTCATCCAAACTTTAGAAAGCAACATTTTTAATGAAAATTTATTCTTGTTGTAATTTTTGTCGGACGCGCAGTGACAAAATTGTACAAAAACGATTTTATAACTACCCGAGTCGAGATTTTTCACCTAATTTGAAGCAAGATTTGAGCGGTTTGAGCGGTTTTTTGAGACAATTACGCTCAAAATCTTGCTTCAAAATGAGCGGTTTGAGCGGTTTTTGAACGGTTTATATAAAAAAAAAACGCTCAAAAACCGCTCAAACCTGGCTTGAAAAACCGTTCAAAAATCACCGCAAGAAATGAGCGGTTTTTGAGCGGTTTTTGAAGCAATATTTGAGCGGTTTGAGCGGTTCAAAAAAAGCCGCCCAAACCGCTCAAATCTTGAGCGGTTTTTGAGCGGGATCTCGACCCGGGTTTAGAAAGTTAAACAGGTTAACGAGGGCAGGGACAGATATAAGATTTTCTCGAAGAGGAATTTTCTCAAAAAAAAGTCGAAATTCTAACTTTTTTAGGCCACCGAAATTGCCTTTTCCGAGCGCTTCCATGAGACTTTAAAGACCCTATCTTGACAAAAATGTGAGTGCCGCAGGCAATTAATTAAAAATTTTGACTTGAAGTTAACAAAAAATTGCGTTTTACGGGCGCGCGCCTATTGAAAATTTGTATATATTTGCGCCCAAGTCACCTTTTGAAAAAAATGTGCGCTTGTTCGGCTTAAAATGAAGTTGGGACCCTTTGGTTTTTAAGGGGCTCGAATCCCTGAAGAAGTGAAGGTGTCCGCTATCCCATCCTCAAAATGCTCCCCTGAACATAAACATATTGAATCGATTCATGTCCGCCCATTTTGCGAGCGATGATCAATTCTATACAGATAGAATGGATTAAATAATTAATAACAAATAGTTGACAAAACTAGTCACAAGCCACTTGATTGGATAAAAACGGATGCATTTGTAGGTTAATTAGTGTTTCTGACATTGTTTATTTTTATGCTGAAGTTGGTTTACAACATTGAAATAAGCAATGTTACGTTAATCAACTTCGTTCAGATCTTTGACCCAAAAAATTGCCTAATTTGGCCTTAACTATAAACGTGGAATTACAAACTCGACCATTGTACCTGAGAGTTTTGTCGTAATTTGGGAACATCTTGTCAAGCATCCGACTCACAGTCAGCCGCTGAGACATTTCACGCCCAGTGGAAAATTCCACAGTCGAAAGGAATAAAACAAAATAAAAGGAAACTAAGATTTGAAGCATGATGAAAGAATTCTATTAATTTTTTTTCGAGGTAAACGAAGTTGATTGAACGATCAATCTCAAGCAAAATAAATATAACAAATTGGAGCTAAATTTCTTTTTCTAAGGAAATCATTTTGACAGTTCATTGACTGTGAATGTCCTCTGATGTTGTAAGAATACATTCATATGTAGATTCAGTAACTAAATTTTATTTCAATAATTTGAGGAGGAAATGAAAAAGCGCAAATGACAACAACCCCGGAGTGACAAAAATGGATAACGAGCGGTTTTACTATGGAAAAAAGGTGTAGACCTAATTAAGATCGATTTTAGTTTAAAAATGTACAAAGATTAAGAAGAAAAGGTTAAGATTGATGAGGATCAATTTTAAATTGATTTAAAATAAAATTAAACCCCAGCTAAAAATATTGGTTCAGATAGAATTTAAGTATTTTTACGTCCGTTTTTTTTTTCAGATTTAAATAGTTATTGTTTTCAGGGGGATTAAAACGGATTTAAACCAATTCAAGTCGACTTTTTTATTCGGGTTTCATCAACTCCGAGTTTGTGTTGCTTTTATTCATTGCTCATCGTTTTTCATCTTACATCCATAGAGTATAATAGCATAAAAAAGACTAAATAGTTTTTAAAAAGATGATACCACTTTTTGATTTCTTTGCATGTTTTGAACTTACTTGCACATTTAAATAGAATTTTAGGCACTTAAATTGATCCAAATTTTTCAAGACAGATCGATTTAATTCAATTTAAAATCCATTTCAGTTTCTAAAGTGTATATAGACTAAATAGCTTTTAAAACTTTGATGATATTTTAAGATTTCTCTGCATTTTTTAACTATTTGCATATACGAATTGATTGTTTTGACACTTGAATTGATCCGAATTTTTCAAGGCAGATCGATTTAAATCGGTTCAAAATCCATTTCAGATCCTAGAGTGTGCATTGTTAGCTGATTTGGATCAATTTACAATCAGATAAAAGGATCCAAAACCATGTCAGTGCAGGATAGTCTGCAGCTGTAGATTTTGTTTTAGAAAAAAAAACGACAAAAACGAAAAATATTTCAATTTCTGGAACTTGAAATTAATTTTTTTTAAAGAAAAGAAAACTTTCCAGCAGAAGATCGTTTCAGGGAAACTTATGTGTAATTTTTTTTCTGTTGCTGTTGCGTAAGAACAGCAAATATCATTGGCTTTTTGTTGCTTTTTTTAACCCAATAAACAAAGAAGTTAGATTGTAACTGAAAAGAATTGAATTTCATCGAAGATATGTAGAAAGTACGAAAATTGTGAAAAAAACAACGGTACTGCTCCATCGTTATATGGATACTAATCGATTGTGTTGGACTTTTGTAGTTTGTCTCTCTAATTTTGAAAAAAAAATTACTCAAATTGATTAGAAATGGATTACTTTGTTAATATTATCTGAAGCAATTGAAGCTATTCTTGTTCAATTATAATAGTTTTTTTCATGTTTTTGAAAAATTTATAAAAAAACAACAAAAGTTACTGTTTTAAGTATTGTCAATTTTTGATAGATTCTTCAATTTCTTCATAATAATTTGAAACTTTTTTTTGTAAATTTCTTTCGTTCACTAAATTTCATTTTTCCTAACTTCAATCGCGTGTTTATAATAAATTACCAAGTTTAAGAATCTATGACCATCCCACAATCTACACCACTTACCCCTTAGTTCCCTCCTCCTCCCTCTTTATCTCTTCACCTCCCCACGGTTACTTTCTTCCCTCTCCATATTGACCGGTATGGGGTGGTGGTTGTTTGTTGGGATTTAGGGGAGGAGTGAATGTGAAGTTTATGGTAGAGATGAGGATGAGATGGGGATGAGGGGGCAAACAGCGGGACGGGGCTGTAAACAGTAGATGTGTTAAATCTTTCTGGGGGGGGGGGGGGGGGCGAGGCGTAGTGGGACAACTTGGGCTGGGAAAACGTGCCTGCAAACAAATTATCTTTCGTTTGGATTCGAATTCTGACGGCAAAACAAATTACAAAATATAATCAATGAAAGTTTGTAAAACAAATGTGAATTATAATCATTTAAAATAGATTTTAGTTGATTTTTTTTCTTGACAACAATCAATTGTAATCGATTTCAAATTCCTTACTAGGCCTAAGCTTGCCACGATAATATATTATTTAGAGAACAGTTTCTATGAAAGAAAGTTAATATTAATCAAAAAATGTTTATGAAATTTTGGTTCGGGTTCCTCGTTGCTGTCCATGAAGCAAAGAATCAAGCCAAAAACTACAAAAAAAAAACAAATAATTAGTGCGAAGCAGTAGCGGATTTAGGGAAGGGGGCTTTGGGGTTGTTATCACGCCTCGTTCAACAACTCCCTGACCACTCGAAAGGTCGCCATTCGATATTACTTATCCTACAATATCTGTGTTTTGCTGGCAACCCCTAAAGTTTTTAGAATTAATTTTGGTGCCATTATTTTATGTTTTTTGGGGCATCGCGCGCCCTTTAACGCAACTTTTTAGTCAAAAACTTCAAAAAAGCCCAAAAAACTTTTGAACTGTTTTTTTTTTCAAGCATTTGTTCGCAGTGCAGATTTCTGATAAAAACGGTCTTTTTAGTGATTTTGAGCTCTTGAAATCAATTTTTCGATGACCTACAAAACGGCTTCAAATTAACAACTAAAATCTTATGAGATTAAAAATACCTTGAAATTGTTTGCAAGTTATTGTTGTGTCAGGTTTGAAGAGAAATTTCCAGGTTCGAAAAAATCAGATGAAAAACTAAATTGTTCGATCAATTTTTTTTACTCAAAAAAATTTTTTTTAAATACATTTTTTTTCAATTTTTTATTGTTTTTTTTTGTAAAAGCCGAGTTAAAACGGATAGTGCGCAGTGCGTTAACATGATAACATACTTGACCAACTACGAAAACTTTTATCAAAAATTCTGAAAAATAACTGAAACTAAGCTATGATTCCTTCTCCACCCTAGTAATATGGTGGGAACAAAAAGGTTTTCACGAGACTCACCTTACAGAAGCAGTGTAAATCGGAAGTGGCAATGGTATAGTTTTCTTGATCTAGAATATAAAGGATTTGCAAAAGCAAACAATGTTTTGTGGGTAACAAATAATCTGAAGTAACAATTTGCTCTGAATTTTACCAGCTTCCTTACCAACCAAATTGTCATTAAAAATATGTTCTTTCGCCTTTATTTTGATAAGCAATCAGAACTTACTAAGTATAGTGAGCGGTTATATTGAAAAGTTGTAAGCTCGCACTGTGGAAACTACTCTAAAACGACGCGGGCAAATTCAGAATTGGCGAGTTTTTAAGCAAAACAAGCCCAAATTAAGATCATGATATAGAGGAAATTCGGGTAACATTTTCGTGTGTTTATATCACCTTGTTTGAATATTGCTGCTCGTTTGGGAAAAATAAAACCTTCAGTGAAGTTTTGTTGATTGGTAAAACTTTCCAGATTTCAGAGTTAACTAGAAAAACTTGTGATTTGAATCTGGGTTAAATTTGGACTGAATAAAGGGTCAAAAGAAGAATAAATCTTAACTTTTGGGTTAGATTTGGGTAAGATTTTGACTGAATTACTGAATTTAAATGTTAATGTGGTATAAAATAAAGACCGAACTACTCTGTAAGACTCTTCAAACCAAAAGGAAATTGGGTTTTCACGGAGACCACGATTTGCTATCCGGTCAATCAACTGATTGGGTGTTTATGTGCTTAAATCGTAACAACCTAGAATTTGAAATATGTGTTTTAAATCTTAACTATTTTGTGTGCTATAACTAATTCTGGAAGTTTCTAGAGAATTTTTAATACCGCCCTGTAAATTAAAAAAAGAGACTGAGAAAATTTAGTTGATAGTGTTAAATTGTCGAGATATGTCAAGCTCATTCGGCTATTAGTCACTTCTCATAAAAGGTGCAACTTCAAGTTTCAGTTCTCAGAAACACGCGAAAATTTTCGTTCTGATGCTCTTTTGAAACTTCAACGTCTTCTTTTCCGCGTGATGATAAGGTTCTATAAAGTTTCTCTGAGTATAATATTTGAAAAATATATTTACCATTTAGATCGAAAAAATTTATATAAATTATGTAATTATATCAGTAGAAGCGCACGTAGAAAATTGAAAGAAGACGTTTAAAATGTTTTTTTTTGAGCGACAAACTGCAAAGTTAAAACGCTATTATAGTTTTTTTTTTTAATTTCAATTCAGCGGTTAGTAAAATCTAATACAATGCTATAGAGCAGAGTGGCTAAATTAAAATTTTTTGTCCGGTTGACATTTTTTCACCAGTGTGAATAGCCACCAGTCATTTTGCGAATAAAAAGTATAGCAAGCTTAAAATTCGATCCTCGATTTCATTTAGCCAAATTGAGAAGATTCTCCTATGAAGCCAAAGGGATAAGGGAGATTTTATTAAAGCTGTGAAACAATAGAAGTGCTTGGATGAAAGATTGCAGTAAGAAAGGCATTCTACTTTCAATGGCCAAAGAAGCTTGAAAAATTATGCGTGCGACAATAAACTTTATACAAAAAAGTCCATCCATTACGTTCAATCTCATAATTTCATAAAGGCAGATTATTGGCACAGAGTTAATTCTATTCTCAAAATTTGATCGGAAAAGTAAAGTTGTTAATCAAATTGACCTTTATTTCCAAGATGGAAATGAACGTCACTTTTTTGTAGATTTTATTTCTCTGTTTCAGATTTTGAAAACAGGAAAAACTTGGTGCTGAAAAAAATTGCTTGGACCAAAAAATGTGCAAAAAACTAAAAATTTTGGCTTTATCCACCGTTAGTTCTATCTTAGTTCTAGTAATGCGCAAGAAAAACTGAAAAAAACTGAAAAATGAAAATTGGCTATAATCACCGTCATTAATATGAACTGCGAAGAACCAAAACTGTAAGGTTTTGCACATTTGGTTTTGTCTAACTAGTTTTTTGTTTACGAAATCTCAACTTTTTTGTCCATTGTGTTGCTCAAATGAAGCTCATTTATTTGCTTAATTCCTTATTCAGGTTTAGGATAAGAGACACTCGTAAAATCAGACCAAGATTAGATAATAATTATTGGGGGCATAAAGGTAGCAGATTTTTAACAAACTCAATTTGTTTCGTCATTTTGCTTCTAATAGCATCATAAAACAAGTTTGCTCGCAAATCAGTGCTGATTGAAAAATTAGGATCTGGTTTACTATTCTACCCCCACGCACAGTAACTTGTAAAAAATTTGCCACCCCAAGGAAGAACTACTTCAACTGTTAAGCAGATGTTAATTTTGTACCTACAATTTTTCTGATTATCAAAGAATTCAATAAACTCCGTCTATGAAATGAGTTGATTTACATCTTACTAAATTTTGTTCAAGTTATTGAGCAGATATTTGTGTTTTGTTTGATTTTAAATTTCTACGGTTATTGAAAGAACGAAAAAAGAATATTATACAATTTCTCATATTTTCACAAAATAAAAAAAACTCACAAAAATTTCGAAAAAAAAAACATGCAAAATATGACTTTTTTTGCTATTTTGTTTATCACGTAGTTCACACACAAAACTTCTGCCAAAATATGATTTTTTTCTCCAAAATAACTTAGCTAAAATTTGCCAGGAATTTTCACCACTGGCTTTTTCAAATTCAATTCTTGTAGCCAAATACGATAAAGTTTTTAGAATGAGCTGTTTAGATATCACAGCTTCAGAAAAAAGGCTACTGTTTTGGGGTCAATAGCTTTGTTTTCAGCAATACGAAGTAGTTCAATGCAAACGGAAAAAACTATCACTAAAAACTGAATGGCCAACTGCTTTTTCAAACCCTCACAACGATTTTGAACTCAAGGCAGGGGCAGATTTAGAGAGGGGGGAGGAAATCGATCCACCCACCAACCAAATGGCCCCCATTGGTACTATATTAGGACATCCCGTGTCGGCCGACCATTCTTAGAGTTTTTCTAAATGCGCCTTTTTCGGGCTGCTGCATTTTATATTAAACTTCAACAGACTTTTTCAAAAATTTCACTAAAATACTGTTTTTTTTTGGACTGTTCTTTCAATAACTCGACTTCGGCCCTTAAACTATGGCCAAAGTAGGGTTTTTATCGACTTGTGGAAATTGGGAAAGATGGTTAAGCTAAAAAAGTTGCTAAAATTTTGCTAGAATTCTCTCGAGAAAATCATAGATCCGTCACTGGCTCAGTGTACTTACTTACTTTAGATAGATGAATATTGGCTTGTAATTAGAAATTTTAGGAGTTTATACAGACTTTCGAAAAAAGTCAGTATTTAAAAGATAGATTAAAAATCTTTTTTTATCCTCGCATTGTTGCAAACAAGGTTGTGTCTTAATATTTGAAGACATGATGATATATTAGTTCTAAAAAAAAATTGGTCCCAAAAAAATACAGTCGAGTTAATCTGAAATCGCACAATATGCGTGGCTGTAAATCAAGACGAAACTATGAAACCATAGAGCAGTTTACAATCAATAAAACTTAGAAAAAAGTTATAGGTTTGTTTTTTGAAAACGGTGTCATTAATGATGGAGAGACCAAGCTTACAAGTCCAGCAATCAAAATTAGACTTAAAATTGACCATATACAGAAATAGGTGACAGTTGCCAGATAAAAAATTTTTCACGGACAGCGAATAAACAAAAACCAAAAGACGTAATTTATTCCTTTTGCACAAAAAACGGGCTTAAAATTAATGTCTAATCAAAATGACCTAATTGAAAAATTTCTGATTGGTTGAAAAGTTTTTCGATTTATCCTCGACCCTCGATTTTTTTACTCGTGATGCTTTGTACTGACAGAAAATAAGGTTCCACTCGAAATGAATCAGATAAAAAAAAGTTGAGTTGATTTGATCTAAAATCGATTTAAATTGAAATATAAACGTAGCTTGAACATCAATTCAAATCGATTCTAAATAGATTCAATTTTTTTTCGTTGGTTTCTTTTTTCTATGGTTTTGTTTAACAAGGATACCATGTTAGGTCATTTCTGAACAAGTTTTTGTATACTTATTTTAGACAGATTTTATACAGATTATAATCAAATTTTCGGGACTATCAAACAATGAAGGTATAAGGGGAAAATATTTTGACACGAGTGTTTCAGTTTTATTTTACTTTTGATGTCTGGCCTGAAAGTAAACTATGAGGATAAGCAATATCCAATTTTTTACGCAACAAATTTTTTTTTCGAACTATATGATGTTTGCAAGTTATAAAAGTAAAGCCTAGAACGTTGATAATGAAAATCAGATATGAACAAACTTTGCATATTTTTTACTTCTCATTGCTATGAGAGCCAATAGTTTCCAATAATTTGAAAGTAAATCACCTAAACGCAATATTTTGTGGTAAAAAAACTCTACTGCAGCTCTGAGGGATTTTTTTTCACCACATCAATTTGCTTAAGCTTCGAAAGAGAAAAAATATTTAAATTAAATCAATTTGTTGAGATTTTGACGATTTTGACTACCTTACAAAAACCTATTGAAGTTGCCAAAAATAATTGTTTTTGCAATAAATTCGATTTTTTTTCTACCGTAAAAATCATTTAATCCATTTTTAATTAATTAACTTATCTAAAAGGGCCATTGTAAATCAATTTCTATGCAGAGTACTATCTGTATAAAAGTTGCCTCAATCTCAAATTTTCAGCCCGGGGCTGTTGGATAATTGGTATATTTCAATTGAAAAGTGAGTAAAAAATGTAGATAGAAATTTTCTCAATGAATAAATTGTCGCTTATTAACAAGGGAAACTCTTACGAGACTTTTATTGGCTTTTATTCTCTGGTGGCAAGACCAACACCGGGCCGTTTTTAGCCCGAGTTGATTTTGCCGCAATAATCACCCTCGACTTGGCAAGTTCTGAGATGGTGTAACTTCTTGGACTGACTCATAGATTTTTTTCTCTTGAAAAATGCTACAACAAAACTTTTGATAATTAAATGATGTTTCATCAGTGAATCAGATCAAAGCGGCAAAAACTCTCATTACGAGGAGAAACTGCGCATTTCCTGAAAAGTAAAAAGAATTCGAAACAGGCCAAAATAGAATTGCCATGAAAAATCAGCAATTTCGTTATTTTTCTTCAATCTTCTTTGCCGTTTTGAATTCCCCTGACAAATAGTTAAAAACTGTATTGCTCAAAATCACCCCAAATTTTTTTTGGAAAATGCGCCAGCAACTTTGCGGAATCTGCAACGAAATTTGCGGAATCAGCAAACAATTAATTTTTAAATATGTGTTTAATAAACATAAGCTGTCATGAAATCCGCAAAGTGTAAGTTAAATACGCAAACTGTAAGCGTAATCCGCAAAGTGTTAGCGGATTCCGCAAATTGTAAGCGGAATCCGCAAATTGTGAGCGGAATCCGCAAATTGTAAACGGAAGCTGCCTATGTTTGTGGAATTCAGTTAAATTTGCGGAATCCGGAACAACGAGCTGTATTCGCTCGTTGGAGAATTAGCAATAAAACTGAAGTGCCGAAAGCTAAATTTTTTTTGCGGAGAATCCATGTAAATTTTGTAATTGGAACAGACTAACATTTCCGACCATGTTAAAAGATTTTTCGTTGGATTCCAGTTATTTGCAGACACCTGGTTGTGAGCGTTTCCAGTGCACAGTTTGGCCTCGAAATGCTTGTCAATTTTGATTTTTTCCATGGCTCAGGGTCACTGCATTGCATAATATACTGAGCGTTTAGAGTATAATCAAGTAGCAACCGACGATGTAATATAGGTAACGTATGTGACTAGCGATCCGTAGGTAGAGGATGAGATCACCGCAGGGAACATACATTTTTTTTTGCTTTAGGACTTTACGTGTCAGCGCTGACTCATCGATCGTTCAGTGCTAACTCAAAAAATTTTGTGTTCCTCCATCTGTTAGTCTTGGCCGTACATGTTAGCTTTTAGTCCCATCTTATAGTTTTTAGTTATAGCTATCGTAATTTTGACTTATCCGCAGCTCAACACTCCTAAGCGAAATATATTTAGAAAACACTACAATACAACCTACACATTTGTTTTTTACGAGAAGGCCACGTTAATTATGAGTTCAGCGGATTCTATGAAGAAATATTGGAACAAAAAACAAGATAGATAGATCACGTTTCCCTATGGAATTTCGAAGATGTTTTACGCGAGAGAGAAAATCACTTCCAGCACAAGGGAATCTGGACTGAATCTGAAAAATGGTAATGAGGTTTCGAGAAAAGAAAAATTTTCCACTGTTTTTAATGTTCCGACTACATCTTGGGAAAGAACAAGGAATTTGAAATTCGCGGTTTTAAAGCGCGGTTTTAAATACCTAAAAGAAAGCACGTAGTTAATCAAATGTTGCGTCGCTTTAAAGAGTCATTTGGA